AGATGAACCACATCGGTGAGATCAACTCCACCTCCCTGCTGGGCTTGGAGGAGCTGCAGGAGCTGGACCTCGGACAACAGTACGTGCCGCTGGTGATCAGGAACAACGCCTTCAACAGACAGAGACACCTGAGGAGGCTGGTGCTAGGCTTTAATGTCGGCCTTAAACTGGAGCCAGAGGCTTTTGTGGGACTGTCCAGTTTGCAGAATCTCCACCTTTATTACTGCTCGCTTCAAGACTCCATACTGATGGAGAACTATCTGGAGCCGCTGTCCTCCTTAGAGACTCTTGACCTCTTTGGAAACAAGATAAACAGACTCAAGCCTTCAATGTTTTTTGCAAACATGAGTAATTTGAAAGATTTGAATCTACAGTTGAACAGAATTGACAAAATGTGTGAGTCTGATCTGGTTGGTTTCCAGGGGAAGAACTTCAGGGTTCTGAACCTGGACTCTGTTCACCTTAAGGCCATGTCTAGTGTAGGTTTTGACTGGCAGAAATGTGGGAATCCTTTCAGAGGAATGTCATTTCAGACACTCGACTTGTCCCACAATGGGTTCAGTGTGGGCAAATCAAAGCAGTTTTTCAGAGCAATTGAAGGGACTAAGATCTCCCATCTCAGACTGTCAGGACACATGGGTAAAGGGTTCTCATTCAATAATCTCCCTGATCCAGACCGTAGCACGTTTGAAGGTCTGAGCAACAGTTCAGTCCTCTCTTTGGATCTGTCTAAAAACAGGATATTTGCATTGCAACAGGGAGTTTTTAGTCCACTGAAAGAGGTCGCAATCATTGACGTTTCCCAAAACAGAGTGAATCAGATACACAGAAATGCCTTTGAAGGTCTTCAGGGACATTTAAAAATGCTCAACCTGTCACACAACCTGTTAGGGGAAATCTATTCTTACACTTTTGCTTCTCTGACAAACCTGCACGTGTTAGACTTGTCTCACAATCACATTGGTGCACTGGGTTATGGTTCCTTTAGTGGCCTTCCCAACTTGAAAGCATTACATCTAACAGGAAACTCTTTGCGAGATCTCGGCTTCCCTGCATCTCTGCCGAGCTTAGATTATCTCCTCTTGAAAGACAACAAGCTGACGTCCTCGTCTGTGAGCGGTATCACGCGGTTTGCCAGCAATATTGTGCATCTGAACATTCAGGACAACAGATTAACAAACCTGGGCGATGTTTACACCTTTTTGACTCGCCTGAAACGCCTCCAGCGTCTCCTCTATGGGGGAAACACAATCAGGTGGTGCACACTCAGTAGAGAAGTTCCAGCAATTGGTTTGCTCCAAGTTCTTGATCTTCACAGCAGCTCCCTGCAGTCTGTTTGGTCTCAGGGTAGATGCCTCAATCTGTTTGACAACCTTGGACATATGATTGGTGTCGACTTGAGCTTCAACACATTGCAGTCTCTTCCTCAGGGCATTTTCAAGGGTCTCACCTCCGTAGTGGAGATGGACCTCTCATCCAACACTTTGACTTACCTTCAGCCTGATGTATTACCCAAAAGTCTCAAAGTACTCAATCTGTCCAACAACTTCATAGCGTCCCCTGACCCCGCCACTTTTCGCTCTCTCAGCTTCCTCGACCTAAAAATGAACCGATTTCGCTGTGACCCAAACCTGAAGAGCTTCCTCACTTGGCTGAACAAGACCAATGTAACTCTACTGAGCCCTGCTGAGGAGCTCAAATGTGAATTTCCTTCTGGTTTCTATAATGTTCCTCTGTTAGATTACTCTGCTCAGGTCGGACAGCAGTAAAAGCAACTAAAAGTGAACAAATATATGTGTCCTTTCAGCATGAAACCTAGAAAAGTATAAGGAATCTAACACAGGTGTCATGTATTGTTGATTTGAGTTCATAACATGATGTTTTCTGTATCAAATATGTATTCAGATTTGTATCTGATAATGTTAAGAATGAAATATTTGATGTTGTTTTGCTGCTTTTATGTTTTTATGTAAAGTGTCTTTGAGTATTTAGAAAAGCGCTTATAAATAAAATGTATTATTATTATTATTATTATTATTATTATTATTATTATTATTTCAAAACCTGTAGACGTATTACAATTCCAGACCTACTGTACATAGGAAAATCACAGCAATGACTTGCAGTCCACATGTGGTCCAAATCTCATAGCCATAGCAGGCCCTATTTTGTCCCAATGTTGGATAAGACACGTTTCAAGTGGAGGAAGGATATGAGAGGAGATTAGGGGAAGGGAGGAGAGAAAGGCAGAAGAGAGTAAGGGACTGGGAGAAAGGAGAGGAAGAGAGATTGTATGAATTATGACATTTTATAGTTTTGCAAAAGATGCATGATGTGAAAAATCAATAAATATTTGTTCAAAATACTGTTGTTGTTGTTGTTAAGGTTTTAGACTGGTAAAGACTGGGAGGGTTGATATTATGTTTAGGCGTCACTGTGTTTCTATCATTATACCAGCAGAGGGAGCTGAAGAATAATCCTAAAAGCCTTTTGGCTGTAAAAGACTGTCTTCTTTTCCAGTGAATGCTGGGAGAAGCTCCAGCCCCCTATGACCCTGAACACTAAAAGTCAGGCTTGTAAAATGGATGGATGAATGATCTCTTATAGAATTAGGCTGGCAAAACTCTCTGAGACAGCAGGATGTGCTGCTGAAGCATCTGTAGTGCCCACTGACACCAACAAAGAACCTGGCAAAAGACAAAAAGCATTTATCTTTCACTCCTTTATTAACAGGTTTTCTTCAATTTATCAACTTTAATTTGTAGGTTTATCTTGGATGTAGTGCATCAACACTGTGCATCTCTTTAACACACAGTAACCAGCTTTTGTTGTACCAGCAGACATGCATTCATTTATAATTTAGCATGTAAAGTCCACATTAAATTTCAAGTGAAAGTAGTTCATCTGACACTACAGCTCTGTCTGAAGGTTCATCACAGACAGTGTTTTCACTCTGGGTGCCCCAGTTAATGGCAGCCTGAATTAATGTTTAACTTTACAATAAATAATAAACAATACAACAGCATCAAATGCAAAGAGATTGGTTGTTATCAGCTACAACATATAGATAAATAATGTGTTGTTGCGCTTCTCAGACACACAGCAACCATAGACGTGAATCTGTGCAACTAGAGGCACCAGTTGTGACATGAAATGGTTGCACTTATTTATTTGTTTATGTTGTTGTTGTTTACATCAACAGCTTATTGGTACATCCTCCCCTTTCTGTTCAATGTCAGTGGAAGTATACCTGGAAATTCGGAAGAAGGTTTATCTGAGGGACAGATGGTCAAATAAAAAGTACATTTCAGTCCACTGGAGCTGAAAGGACTTTATTCTTTTGATAAATATTTCACTCCCAATAGAAATACTGTTTTACAGCTGAAAATGAGCAGCGCTGCCTTCGAGCTGGTACAGGAGCTACATATTCCCCCACTTACAGCAGAGGGCAGCATCAGCCCAGTTAGACTGTTGGCCTCCATGCTGCTTTTCAACAGTGTGGTTACCTTTAACACAATACCAACCACACTTCTCCCAGCTGAGATAAGTGTGCAGCAATCCAGCATTTAGTTGTACAGCCTCTGATAAATTAAACAAACAGCTAAAAGCTTCGTAATCCATGAAGTCATATTTATGGAACAGGAATAAAGAATAATCAAAATGATGGATGATGAGATAAACTGGATAAATAGGTCTGATCAGTAGTTAAGTGAGACAATAACAACTGTTCAGTGTCAGTGAGGTGTTCTTGGTCAATAACAACATACAATCTTCTTATTTTAATGTCCAAGTCAGGATTCTGTATTGTGATTAATATTATTTCCTATTTCTGCTGGTAAATATCAACAGAGCTCATCAATTTATGTTTAATTTGTTTATCATTTGATGTTGATGTTGGAGAGCGGCTGAATTAAAAATGTGCTCCTACTGTCCTAATAAAGCTGCTCTCTGGTCATAAAATATTAAATGTCGACAGGCGGGGGGGTGAAGAAGAGACGCCCGTAAGTCAACTGATAAGACTCAGATTGCATGAGTGAATTTATAGACCTGTGTGTGTGTGTGTGTGTGTGTGTGTGTGTGTGTGTGTGTGTGTGTGTCACCTATGACTCATCACCAGACATGACTATATGACGTTTGTGTGAACGTTGCTCATAAATTGCTTTAGTGTCTGCATCCAAACCTGTAGGATTACTAATCTTGACTGTGTGTGTGTGTCAGTGTGTGTGTGTGTGTGTGTGTGTGTGTGTGTGTGTGTGTGTGTGTGTGTGTGTGTCTGTGTGTCTGTGTGTCAGACTGAATACTAACTGACTGACTCCTTTTGTTTGATACTAATAACAGTTCGGTTCCATGCAGGTCAAACAGAGTCATTGTGTTGTTATTGTGCATGTTGGCTCACTGGAAAGACTCTATTACACTAAATGTAATGGAGCCTTAATCAGTATCATTGGTAACAACCTGTGTTTACCCTGTTAGCCTATTTCATGTCAAAATGGCTGCTGTGAAAGTGGTCTATTGGACTGGTTCCATTCTCTTTAAATGTACCTTTATGTTGTATTTTAACAATGTATATATATATATATATACATTGTGTACATATACATAGACTGTGTATACGCAAATATGGAGGATTTATTCTAAATTACTCCTTGTTTTAGGATCAGAATCTATATAGTTATTTCATTCAAATGTTGAACTGTCGTGATAAAGCAGAATTGTGGTGCATGTATGAAATGTATTAATGTAATTACTTGATCTGTAAACCTCCTACTTTATGTTTTGGAGCTATATTGGTCTGTCAGCTGGTCTCTGGTGAGGCTATAATGTGATTTTTGGATCATAAATGTTGAAGGTAATGTAGCCCACAGGAAGAATAGCTTCTGCTCCAATTAAGCTAATGGGAATCTTAATAAAAATGAAAATGATAGCTCTTGAGGGCAATCGCACACATAGCGTAGCCTGAGTGTACACGCACACAATAACCTGAAACAGATCGTTAGATATTGATTAGAGGTATTTAAACACGGCGCCTGTGACAGTGTCTTTATTAATTTTTTTTTTTTTCCTTAGCCAGACACAAGCTCAGCCCGACCATGTAACATACATACATACATACATACATATAGATACACAACCCCCCCCATCCCCATCCCCTTTACTGGCAGGTTACCATGGAAACAGGCTCACCTCCTCCACAGACTCACTTCCTGATTGTCTTTGGATCCCTGCATCCATCCGTCCATCCTCCCCCCCCTCTTCCATCGTCATCCTCCCCCCCCCCCACAGCCCACACACACTCACGTTTATACAATATTTTACAGCCCTGACACAAACGGGAAACGTACACAGAGGATTTCACCGACTAATATGACCAAATGTTCGTAAACGAGCAATGTTTAGAGGCAGCGTAGACTGATAGTAACTGCCTGTTCTTCATCGTACATTTGTTCCTAAATTATTTAACCCAATCACGTTCATCCTTGCATTACAGTCTGCTCTATTTTTAGACCATAATTCATGGATATCTTGAGGCAGCAGAGGTGACTGATGTTGCATTACACTGAGATAAATAGTTAAAGGAGCTGCAAATTGTCAAAGTGTTTGCTTGAATATCAATATTTGAATATCTTTATCTGATTAAAAGCACCCTGAAATGAGACCTGAAACTCCACTCCATCCATCACTTCATTAAATGCACAGTTGCATGTATTTTAACCTCCATACAGCAAGAACCTTTTCATTGAAGCCTCAGAGCATTTTAGTTTTTTTTTTTTTTTTATAACAAACTGGGTCAATTATGTACCCAGATACTGATGACTAAACACATAAAATCCTCAGTGTGCATCTGTAAATGGTTCAGACAGTGAGAGAAGTAGGTTAACACAGAAAACTGCTTCTGAATGTAATTTGTACAACAAACAGAACATATTTTTGCCATTTTAACCCTTTTCCCTCATAACTGTTTTTATTACTGGCAGGGAGGTTCAGTAGGTTACTGTTATTTTCTAAAAATGAGTGTGAATGCAGCCTCTTACAATTATTTTCTGCCTCTAGCTTCTTAAATATGAGGATTTGCTGTTCTTCTTTGGGTTGTGGACTGTTGGACGGACATAAAACACAATTTTAAGACGTCACCTTTGGGCTCTGGCGCATGTGTGATAGACATTTTTCACTATTTTGTGAAATTTTCTAGATCAAAGTATCAATTTATTAATTAAAAGAATTGTTAGTAGATTCATCCATAATGAAAACACCTGATACACTCTTTCGGCCCTAGACTGAGCAAGTAATTGTCACATGCCTTTAAAAGGATCCGGGACTGACATCTCAGTGAACTTCTGTGAGGACATTGTCGGATATTATGAATGATATGGTTTGATTTTTGGGTCATGAACCACACAGGACACAATGCTGTATATCAAGTATTTAAAAAAAAAAAAAGGTTAAAAAAGGCTTCTAGATGTTCAGCACAGTGGTAATAAATGTTGTTTACCCACTATTTAAGGACTGCTGCTGTGCTCTCCTGTACTTATCAGGGGGTCCAGCTGCAACTGGATCTCTTGCATCAATAATACAGTGATAATTAGTCACCCTAACCCCCACTGTCTGCTCCTCTTAACCTCCAGCAAGTAAAGAACCCTGTGACACTAAAACTGTGCACACCTGACTGCAGACTGTCTAAACAACGAGCCAGAGAGGTGCACTTCAACTTGAGCAGTCACCATCAGAAGCCGGTGTGTTGAAATGATGTTTTACTGTATTATAGACCTACAGTATATTAAATAACTCCTGTACTGTACGCTCAACCTGAATGTTTAAAGTAGCTGGTGTGGGAACGAGACTCAAACAAGGTAGATGTGTCCAAGTGTACATATCGTCATCATTCATAGAAGCTTTTGTTGTTTTTTGATTGTTTAACAATTGTTTAGCCGGTTCTCGATTAGAGAGAGAGAGAGAGCAGAGTTTGTTCCTCTCTGAATGGAAAGCGAATGACAAAGTGTCCTGATACATGAAAAGAACACCATAAGGCAGAGTAGAGAGTCATTCTCCATTATTTTATATACATTTTGAGTAAGTGGCCATTCATACAAAAGGCAAAATCCCTTCTCATTGTTTTTTAAAGTTAGTTTAAGCCACAGTTGCGTTACCAGTGAGTTAACTGGTAAAGTAGGACACTGAGGGAGTGAGTGTCTACTTACAAGCTTTGTCTGAGCTATTAAACACATCTAATGGTCTTCCTCATTGGATGGATATAATCTAATCTCCATCCAGCTCCAGAAAAAGTTTGTAAGTGATTTGATTTTGACACAAAACTACAAAAAAACCTATTTCACACTCAGTTAACATTGTTGTTACTATGGTTACCCAACGTTGGACACTGATGTAAAAGAGCCAAACTTTAGATTCTTTTTTCGTGATTTTAATGGTTTCCCATTACCCTGCTGTGAATACAAATCCCAGTAAAATGATTTATGGAAGCGTGACATTGCCTCACTATTTTCATTTTAATGAGATTATTTAAAGGCGTTGCTTTTAAATGAGACACTGTTGGGGTGACACAAGAATAATGCAAGACGACAGATACGACAAAAGGTCATCATTCAGGTTTCAGAGTACCTTGTCTGACCAACAACATATGTTACATCATTATTCTCTACTGTGCTCAATTCCAATAACAATATAATCTCATCTGTCTCCCCCTTTTACGCAGAAAACAGAACAAACCTGCCCCGAAAAAACCCTGAATACATGAAATATTTACACTGATATCTTACAGGCAATTCAAGCAGTTTGTGACCTGTCAGATCTGTATTTGTCACAATTAGAAACACAAACAGGCAGCCATACAGCCCTGCATATACAGATAACACACACACACACACACACACACACACACACACACACACACACACACACACACACACACACAACAGTCTGGGCAGTACAGCACTGCAGCCAGTTGTTTAAGAGGATGATCCGAGGCTCATGGTCTCAAACATGCAAGGAAGAAAGGGTTCTGGTGGGTCTTTACATCTGTAGAACAGGAGGAACTGGTGTTTTACAGAGTTTCTGAGGTTCATCAGGTCATTTTGTTGTCTGTCAGAAGATAACGTCCTTGTTAACGACTCTTTAATGCAGTTAATCACCTCTCAGGATTCGGCATAGGTGGTGGTGTGTGCTTGTGTCCCAGCTGTAGGCCTCATTGAGAAGTCTGTCAGAAGATCACTGGCCAAAAGGGGAAGGGGAAAAGAAGAAGAGGAAGCAGAGGAACTAAAATAAATAACGATAAAAAAACCCCTCTTTACTAAAGCTTTACTGTGCTGCCATGGGTGTGGCAGTATGACACGCCGCCAAGGAAACATTAGAAGAGGAGGAAGTGATGGATTTTGGGGTCTGGCACCTGCAAGTAACAAGAAACAGTAGAAATTAAAACTAAAATACAGCTAATCGCCACCTTTACGTACAATTTAGACACAAGTTAATAATATTATACAGCAATATTGAGATTACAGGCATCTGAGCAAATGAGAGATAAACCATTAGATTAGGAACTCCTAGAGAGGGTGTGGCTAATCCTGAATAATCCCATTTAGAGATGCATTAACTCTAAACCATTTACACTAGTCAGACACTGGCCAGTAAAAGCAGGTGTCCCCACATACAGTAAAATGGTTATCAGTGAATAACATAAATAATAATGGATACATTTGTTATTACTAATATGCATTTTGATACTTGATTATATCAGCTAATACTCATCTTTTTACATAAACACATGATACAACCAAACATTTTGGATAAGGATCCCTTAAATTCAAGATATGTACTGAACAGGCTGTTTCACAGTTAAACTATAAAGTTTGTTGCACAGAAGACAGTAAATTCTTTGGAGTAACACTGATCCAATTTCTACTACTACTTCAGCAGTACTTTATGTGTGATAAAAGCCTATACTGGAACATAATAGATCATCACTCATGCTCTGGTTTGGGGGTTCAGGCTCACCAGGATCGAGACTTGCGGACCCCTCTGTCCTTGGTGGGCGAGTTGTCCAAAGAGTGACTTTGGTTCGGCTCCGCCACCGCTAGCGAGGCGGTGTTTGGAGGAGTCATGTCGAGCTCCAGAAACATGATGTTCTCAGCCTGCACACACACAGATGTTTCATTGACATAAAGGTGTTCATGCATTACGTTTTGCAAAGTGACAGCAAACATAAAGGTTTTAGACACATTTTGTTATTTTTTTGGTCATCAATGGGTCAAATGTGTAAAGTGAAAGGGCAAACTTCTGATGGTGACACCAGAGAGCTTTTGTATCTGACTCTGCAGTCCCCCTTTGTGTTTTAACATTATTCAGCTACTTTGGTTTTATGGAAGAAAACTGTTAAGGTTCATACTGTATATACCACTGTCATCAGTGCCACTTCCATCTGCAGCAGACAGCTGTTTTCAGCAAAACCTGCTGTATGCTGGTAGCCAAGCACCAAACATCAGATTAACACAGCTAGCGGCTAGCTGGTGAACATAATTGAGCATTTATCAGCTAAATAATCAAATATTTTCTTCAGACGCTGGTGGAGACCAAAATAGAACTAAAAGAGAGTGAATAATGGACTTTAAATTCATCTGGTGGCCAGACACTAAAATCTAAATGAATGCAAAGGTTGTTTTCTGTGTGCTGGTTGTACATATAACCAACTGTTTGCTAACTGTTTATCAACTTTATACAGTTATATTATGTCAATGTTGTGTTTATAGATAGTTGAGTTGCAACCACACGGTCAGTAAAATTATTATTTTTATTATGATGATTTATTGTAGGTTTATTATTAGTATTGTATTGTAGTATTGTAGTATTCCACTGAAAATCTATTTTTTGGGAATCAAAAAACTCCCTGTAGTCGTTGTAGGTGGTTTTTATACGTTTACAGTGTTTAAAGCCTGCAGTGTGATTTTCTGACACTCCAAAGATACATTTATGGCAGATTCAGTAAACTCTGGACATGGATGCTCTCCTGTAAAGTGGTTAATTCTCAGCTTCCCATTCAACAGACATCCTCCTGTAACACACACACACACACACACACACACACACACACACACACACACACTTACCCGGTATCTGGAGTGAGCTCCCATCGCTATGGCAACCCTGGCGTACTGGCTGATTGGTCGTTTGTATCCGACTGCAGATGTCGGTCTTTTCTTCATCTGCGAGGATTTACTGAATAGATGCGGGGGGGGGGTCAATAAGAAACAAAGGAATCAAATAGAAATCAATGCTGAAAATACCAAAATGCAGCCCAATGAAGCTCCAGTCGAGATATCTTCTACAAAATAAATATGATCTAGCTTTCACAGAGTCAGTTTAACAGCATCTCTAAAGGCTTTTCTGCTTTAATAGCATTGGAGGATGACGGGAAAGAGACGAGAGAAGAAGAACGAGTGACACAGAGAGCTGGAAGGTCAAAAGGTCATGAACCCCGACTCACATTAAACACAATGTTGAGTTCATTATTTTCACCTCACAGCCCAGATGGGAATATCCAAACATCAAAAAAAAAAAACCCCACACTGACCTTTCAGCAGGAACCAGAGGCTGAAACTTCCACTGATCCTCCTCGGGGTCAAAGGTCAGCCGGTTCATGATCTTATTCTTCTCCTCTGGAGGGATGAAGTTCTCTATGATCAGATACCTGCATGTGCACCACACACAGCACTATTGGGTTTAGTTTGAGGTCATTTCAGAAACAAGTGGCTTCAGAAAGTCTGTAGAGGTAAATAGTGTCTAAATTGTGTTTGTCACTCACTGCATCTCAAGAGCCTAAACTCTTCTTTCTCTATGTCTGTGTTTCTACAGTATATGATAGAAAGATTTATAGAAGAACTGTTCTGCACTAAGATTAGATTCAACTTTACTGTTATTGCACACAGAACCAGCACCAACCTGATAATTAACAAGATAATTAACATTTACATTCATTTATCTGACACACACTTTTGTCCAATGTGACCTTAAATAGACATTTTGTTGTGTCAAACACGGGTGCAACGAAAAAACATTAAATGCTGCATTACATTGCAGTAATTGCTGGCAGGGAAGCCATCGTGAATAGTTCCACCAGCTACGACAAGTCAAAATGTCAGCTGAGAAATGTGGAACAATAAATTAACGAGAGCGCTCTGATGCTAATATCAAGATTCAAGATAGTATGTAAAACATGATTAGTAGGAGATGGAGAAACTTTTGAGTTTGAGATGTTCATACAGACAACAGCAGCAGGTGAACACAGTGGTGGTGCCAACACAGAGGGCTCGTTTGCAGGAACAAGGTGGCAAATCAAATCCATGTTCTAGTTCCTTCATCTTTGTACTTTTACTGCTTGTATGCTGAACCGTTATCCTAACATCTCCGATCTGTCAGCATCTCTCTGTGTTTGAAATAATGAAATTCCTGTGAAGCGTGTACGTATCTGATGTGAGTGCGCTCTGTGTTTGCTGAACCGTCGGGCCATATTTTGCTGATCCCGCTGACTCTTCTGGATGTTTGTTCGACTCACTTGAACTTGAGCTCTCGGGTGAGCTCGTTCTGAGTTTGTTCCAGTTCCTGTCGGCTCCTCACGTGCTCGTCGTTCACGTCCTTGATCTCGGCTTTGATGCACTGGAGCTTGGCATACAACTACGAGGAGAGAGAGAGAGAGGGAGAGAGAGGGAGACAAACAGAGAGGGTGAGGAGGAGAGATGTCGCCCAGTGCAGTGTAGTCGCTGATGAACTGGTCTCCGACTCGCTGCAGCATGGTTGCCCCTAGCAACAGCACTGGAGGCACTGGTGTCTGGAGAAATGGGCAGCTAATAGGAGAATGGCAACATGGCAGCCCTCCCTCTCTCCAGCTTTATTCTCCCTCTTTCCTCGCGCGCTCCAGAGCTTTCACACTGTTCATTCTTTGACTGCATGGCCTTTAAACAAGTAGGCTAATCCTGACTTTAGCCCTGGTGTAGTTAGCCTGAGAGATGACACTGCAGTTCACAAACTCTGTGATGTGGCGGCATACAAGAAAAATGCTCAAAATGGGATTTGTTGTTAAAACAGCTTAAAGTTAGAATCAGATAGTTAAAGGGAATACCATGTACACAAACACAATTTTTTTTGTTTATTCAGAGTTTACTATGAACTACAAACAATCTCTTCCTGAACTGGGATGGACTTGCTGAGTAATCACAATATTAATGTAGCCCTGAAGTGTGCACGAAGCCTGCAGCAGCTACATACATAAGCTGTGTTACTACATTGCAACTCCTTAATGCTCCCTGACTATCATCAACCACTCTGTTACAACTGCAAAAAGTTCAGCAAACCACACTCTTCACAATCAACATACTTGTTGACTGCCTAAACCTGAAAGTTTCTCTGAGCTTCACAGGCTGCCCTCTGAGCTCTGAAATCACAGTGAAAACACATCCCTCTTTTCCTCAGAGAGACGGCTCCATGCAGTGAAGGAAAGGGAAGATGGCTCGCGTGCCGCGTTCGCACGTCAGGAGAGCAAAGATCAACATGGGATAATTAATCACATTGTCATCCACACTCACACCATGGGTTGTTTGGGGTTAGTCCTGCTGGCCGTGCAACGGATTGGGAAGCAAGAAGAGCAGGGAAGGGTTTGCAAGGTTCAATGTGTTGTTTTAGGGTTTGCACTGAGGGATTTAGGAGTGAGTTACTCGGAGGTCCTGAGCGATTTGACAAGGAAGGGAAGACGGATTGAGAAGGTTAGCATTGAAAGCGTGAAGAGGCCCAAAAGTGAAAGTGATAGAAAGTGACGGAAGGAGAGAGGAAGGGGACGGCAGGACAAACCTTGAGGTACTGAGATTTAAGAGCGTCAGGACGGAGAATGTGTCCGAAGAATGGGGTCATTAAGATCCAGGTCAGGGGTCAAAAGGGGTAAAGAGGGATATACTGACATTAGGAACAAAAAAAGGAAAGTGTATTTGTGTGTGCATGTTAATCTGTATGTCCCTCTTCTGTTTATAAAAGTGTGTGCATTTGCTGCATCTATAAACGTCTCCTGCATGTGGATTTGTGTACACATGATATTACCTGAACTTTATAAGCAGAAGGAATATCTGTGCATCTTTTACCTTTTTCAGTTTCTTGGTCTTGGCCTCCACCTCCTGTTGCAGAGAGGTGAAAGTCTCTCTCAGCTCCAGCGTCTCTTCGTCCTGGACCAACACCTGCTGCTGAATCTCCCTCTCGCTGCGTGACTGAAAGAATTTAATCAAAATGTTACCTTTCTCTTAAAGCCCTATCTCCCCCCTGTCTCCCCAGGTTAACCTCAACACTAAAGTTGTGTTGAGGGTTGAAAGGTGGACCTGAACTTTAGTGTTTTCAGTATTTCATGCTGCAGTAGATGCAGATTTACTCTTTTTAAAGCAGGCTTACTGTAGCCTGAGTATGCAATATACAGGTTATTATTATTATACAACTGAAACAAACAAACATCTTTATCAATTTGTGGTTAAACTAAGCATTATTTTCTAAGTATCTAACAGTAAAATGCAGTTTACCATGATGTAAGAAATATTAATTCTGTCCCTACCTACCTCTGTATATATCTTTAAACACACACACACACACACACACACACACACACACACACACACACACACACACACACACACACACACACACACACACACACACACACACACACACACACACACAGGTTTACCTGCTCAGCAATCTCATGCCTTTTCATCTCCAGCATCTTCTGCTGCTCGTTGGTGTGATCTATGATGTTCTTTCCTCCAACCAGCAGCTTGCTCTCCATCGCCTGAGAAAAACAAAATAATATCTGGATAAATATTTCTGATGAACAACCTGTATTGTGTCCTTGTAACAGCTACAGTGAACACAGCAAACCTTTACCTGCGCACTCTGTGTCAGACACAAAAGTCTGTTACTACACATTAGAAAGTAACTTAGATACATTAAGTTTATTCTGACTTTATTTATAAGGAATAGAGGCTTTAAAAGGTTGGTACATGGTAGATTTACAAAACAAATGACCAGTTAACTAGAAATTACTTTAGACATGTCTGGTGTTTTCAAATGTATTAAAGAACAATTGTCAATTGTAAATGCGGCTTCTGTAGGTTGGTTACTACTGTGAACTTCACTGTTTTGTTTTGTCAGTGTTTAGTAGTAAATGCCACTATGAGACAAAATAGTAGGAATCTATGAGGGAGGAAATTTGAGATTTTGAGAATAAAATTTAAATATTTTGAGTAAAAGTTTTATTTTACAAGAAAGAGTCATAATATTTCTTATCCTGTTAGGGTGCAGTATGTGTTGATACTGTGTTGATTTAAATAGATTTTAAATAGTTTCAATTTAGGTTTAACAGCTTGTTATAGACTTTAGGTTCAGAATGGGTTATAATAGGTAAGTCATGTTTGATTTTCATGGTACCATTAGATGATTACTGTGTATTTAATATTAATTTCTTACTAAAGCAGTTAGATCAGATAATATTTGAGTAGACTGATCTTCATTGTCAGAATTGTCTCGAACACAAACAGAAAAATTAACAAAAGATTACATTAAAGCACAAAACAGTACTGGATTTTACCAGGCAACATTTCATCTTAACTTAAACAGGTCTTTTTATTTACATTATATCTACACCAAGATCCAGTAACAAGAATATACTGTAGCTGGAATTAATAATTAATATAATTGAGAAAGTGTCTTGCAGTACTCCTCAAGGAGAAGGATGGAGTGTCTTTCTTTTGGTCAAACTAAGTTCATCTGCACATCTAACAGTTAAATCTTTGTGTTGGTGTTAGAGCTGCAGTCAGGGCAGACACTGTGCTGACGGGGCAGACGGAGCTGGAAGTCGGCAGCTTAACGTCCCAATGATGACACCATCCCACAACAAGCTGAGCTCGGCTGAAATGTTGCAGTGCTTCAGATTTCAGACTGAATCACATTCACAAGCAAAAGTGACATAGTGTGCTTTCATCGAGTTAAATATGGTATCAACCTTCTTGTCGACTGATGTCTGATAACCCTATTTGATACAGACTTTTTATTTTACAGATATCTCTTAACCTTTCATCTGGCACCATCATCAGTTCACAATTTGTCTAAATCTCTGGTTAATGACTCAATAACTACATTACCATCAGCCTCAGTCGTACTAATGCGTTGTTAGCAATCACCTGGTACCAATGACACGTGAAATTCAAATGGAGGGCAGGAACTGAAGAGCAGTGGATGAGATGGAGGAGAGTCCATGCTGTGCTAGTTTAAACGATTATAGGAGAAAGGTACAAACGACATACGTTGGATGCGATTCTTATGTTATAAAGAGGAGCAATTTTTCAACTAAACTGACAGATTTGCCCTTTCAGACGGGAAACTGAAGTCATTATGTGGCTCTCTTTAAAGCCACCAGACTCCTTTGATTAAAAAGAATAATTTTATCTTGCAGAACACAGGAGTTTGCTGGTCTACTACTGCCTCGGTTGGTTAGTTCTTGTGTTATTGGTGATCCAAACTGAAGTGTCCAAACACAAGTGTGGTAGCTTTGAAGCTTCAGAAAGCTGTCTAAAGGTGAAGTGACTCCCTTATGAACAACAACTTTTGGTACTCAATAAAAGCTTCTTGTCATTTCTCAGTTTGAATGATTTGAGCAACTGTAAACGACTGAAAACAGGAATTTTGAGAGTTTGTGATCGTCCTTCCAATGTAGAAAATTACTTCCTGCCCTTCATCTGCAGTTTGTGCAACATGTGAAAACAAGTTAAATGTTATCACACTAACAACGTGGAGAACATTACACAGTGTAGCCGTTATGAAAGGTTTGCTCTCTCCGGCTGCTTTCTAGTTATTATTTCAACCTTTTAAGTGTGTTAACTCTGATGAAGAACCATTATCATTTCATGCCTCTGGTTACAGCGTCTTTGGTTACCGTGGAGATTAAAGACCCGGGGTCACACACAATCACATACATGTTGTCTGTCCTGAGGGGGAAGAAATCTAAAATTAACATAGAGAAGCAGGAATGAGTGAGAGGCAAGGCAGTGTGAGAATGAGAACAGAAGAAGAAAATGTAAAGAAAAAGAGGGGAAAAGAGAGAAAAGGGGCCCGAGAAGGGCAAGTAGGGGGCACAGCCATTTTGTATTGGCCACATTCCAGTCACAGGACTTTATACAAAAAGACAGTGTGTGTGTGTGTGTGTGTGTGTGTGTGCAGCCTATACATTCTTTATTACGAGCACTAAAACACACACTCAAACTCATGCAGAGTACAGTGGAGTCCTTCAGAGAGGATGCGTCTGCAGCAGGTCTTTACAGAAAGCCTCTTTGTTTTCGAGCTGTCTTTGTGTTACGTGTGTTTGTGTGTGTGTGTGTGTGCGTGTGTGTGAGACTGCCTGGTTTTTGCTGCTCTTTGTGTTTTGTCATATTCTTTCAGCTTCATTAAAGGGCTGATTCATGTCAGGTTTTTTTTTCTCTCTCGTGCATCCCGTGTCTCTTCCCACTGATAGGCTGGTTAGAAAGACACAATTGCTTTACATTCAGGCTTTTATAAAGCTCGGCTATAAGTGGACTTTAATGGACAACTTGCCACTTTACATTTAACTCAATGTTTCACTTTTTCACCACCAGGCACTTGTCAAGACACACATTGTGAATAAAATGCATATTGGTGTCTTAACTTCAGTAGAAGATCCACTGTGAGTCTCACTGAGTTCATGAAACTGTGTTAAAAAACCTGAATTACATCAAAACACAGCAACATCCAATTAAAATCGAATAACGTTTTGTCACACTGTACATGCCCCCTGGTTATCCTAAAACAGCCTGCTTGCACTGAGTTCATAAGTGCACTTCTTCTGCACTAAATATTAGTTTGATACTCGACTGTAATGTTTTATTTACTCCTCAAACAGGTTCAGGAAGAAGTTAAGTAACATGCTCTGACAAAGGCTTCATGTCAGCAGTGGTATCATGTGGTGCTCTCAGCTGTAGAAGGAGGATGCCACAAAAGGATCTTTGTACCTATTTGAAGAACATGCCATTGTAATTGAGTTAATAAAACCAGTTTAAGTAGCTGCACCATTACAAAAACACACACCGCAACATAGAAGTTCAACGAGTCACTCATCCCCAGTTGGTCAATTTGAAGTATTTGCAACACATGCAAATTTTACATTATAAATGTGGAGTATAGTCTACAGAATAAATACATGAACCTTCTGGTAAGATTATTTTTTCCAAGTACTGTATAAAGCCAACATGGAAACATCTTCAAGTGCCCAGAAAAATGGAAACTGTAGCATTTATATTTCCAAACTCCTTCTGCTGAGGAATATCACATAATATGACAAAAAGCTACAGAAGAGCTACTAAATATACCTAAATGAGGTTGTTTGATCATTATCAACGTCACAAATTAACTTTTTTGTCCTTCATTTAACATTTGAGGTCACTGTCTAGAAGAGAAATTATCTTGAAACGCATTGCAGTCGTGGTGTCATGAGTTCATGTGGCAGATTTCCAAGCACGTCACGTTTTTAATGTCCAGGTCAAGCTGTTTCACATCTGACCTGTTGTAATAGAGGTGAAGATGAAAAGAAGACATGAGAGGAGGAGGAGGGGGAGGGAGGAGGGGGAGCGATGACTCAGTCAGGGGTCCAAATGACCTTCAATCACATGAGAGACGACTCACTCGTCATTCGACTCTTATTCTGTTTTCAAGCAGTCAGGATATGTGATGTTCTCTACAAAGGTCACAGTGGAGCTTCAGTTTGTTCATCATGTCATTATAAACCTTCCTGTTTCTACATCTCAGTCCTTCACAGGCTCAAATATTATCCCGGCTGTCTCTGATCGATGAAACAGTTTTTATATCTTACAATGTGTGTGTGTGTGCTTCAGATTGATTTACACTGGATGAGCCGACGTCTCTGCGGATGTACGCGCACTATCTGCGAAGATTATTGCATTCATAGCTGCACTCTTGTCCGTGTAGGAGTCTCCATTACTGTACACACTGTAGAGGGCACTGTGGATAAGTACAGGGGACATTTTTACACTAAGACAGGCAGACGCTGTTCGAATTCAGCCAGATTTTAAACCTCTGCTTGCTAGTGTCGTCCATTTTTATAGTAAACAACGTAATATCATTAGTTTAGTTTAAGCTCAGACTTCAAACCGTCTTCTCCGCTTATGAACTGCAAATTTTGGATTCAAACAGGTCATTTCACTTTAAAAATGAACCACGTTTGAACAAATGTTTTTAATTTAGAATAAAAAGTGAAAGCTCTAATGGAAAGTAGCCATTAGGTTTTATTGTCATAACGCAACCTTTAGTCTGATCATGGTGGTGTACTTAAGCTATCAGCGCTCCTGCTTGTTTATATAATAACACATGGAAATCAGTAAAATATCAAATATAGTGGAACAAGACATATTTTTGTATTTATATTTTCTGAGTCTGCTAAAAAGAGCAAAAGAAAACAGTGAAGCATTTCTAAAAGCGTCACACTTTTCCTGGAGCTTCTGAGAGCATGTGTGTGCCAGCCCGCATATTTGTCTGTGTATGTATAATCTGCCCATACGTGTGAGCTCAAATTCTTCTGGCTGTGACTGATCTGATTTCCTGATGGGAAAGCGAAGAGAATGGGAAGAGTTGCATATTGAGCTGGCTCATCCACATCAGCCAGCCAATCACAGCAAGGCCGGGGCCTTCTGGGAGCGACCGGGATATAAATACAATGTGACGACAACGGCTCTCGTGTGTAAAGAGGAGCGACAGAAAGCTTGC